TGGTCGGACAACGAGCCGCGAAGACTCGAACACGTTACTGTAGATTCCATATCAGGGACACCCACCCACTCGTTGGAAGGTAAGCGCACCCTGCGTAGCAGTGAAGAGACCGATAGTAGTTGTTTTTTCAGAAAAGAACCTGAATACAAGACTTTTTCGCTGACGTGAATGGACACGAATGTACACGTGCGCCTCCCACGACCCCTCCACCGCACCCCCCGCGCTCCCGCGCATTATTGCTCGAGTTGTGGGTGCACCCCTACCCTGTTTTGGTGATTCTCTTGTACCAATGCGACGCCCCGTGTCGACCACAGCAAGTAAGCGAGCATGGTTGGTTTCGTTCCAAACGTAGCTTGATCATGTTGCAACTTATTCGGCGATGACTTCTCACAGCCTAGGAAGCTACCTCCATTGGAGCTGATTAGGAGCATCCTCGCTGATACCGCCAAGAAGTTCGCCCACCGTTCCACCCTCGGCAATGGCACATGGACACCCTGTGCTGCCGCGACGTTCGAAGATCAGAGGAAGAAGTAAGTGACAAGAGTGGAGAATGAACGGCCGCGTTTGGGTTTTTCTGTGTATGGGTACGTCCTCTTGTGGTTTCGAAGAGACAACCTAGTTCCTGGAGGTCTCTCCTGTACTTGCGCGGACGGGTGGTGGGTTGCCAACGGGTGGGTGTTCCATGACATGTTGNCAAGAAGTTCGCCCACCGTTCCACCCTCGGCAATGGCACATGGACACCCTGTGCTGCCGCGACGTTCGAAGATCAGAGGAAGAANAATGTACTCACATGCACGCCTTTGCCACGTCCATTATTCCAGACTCATCGCCTCCCCGACGGGCAACCAGTTCTACACGGTCGAGAACACCAATCTCGCCACCCTCAACACCCGCGGCAACAGGGTCCTGCTGAGGTGGGGCGAGCCGGGGCAGAAGACAGAGTGGTCCTGCACATGCGGGTTCCCCGCGAGATTCCAGATCCCTTGCTGCGATGTCATTGCCGTGGCTTGAGGTAAGCGATGTACCTAGTGGGCACAGCAGTAGTCTTGTGACCGAACAAAACGATTGCCAGGAGCCCTCCAGCAGCACTCTGTGAATGTGTTGTCGCGGAATCGATCGGATCACTTGCGTGCTAATTCGCGTGCTCACACGGCAAACCTGTTTTTGCGCTGCATGCTCTGTCTCTGTCCTCTTGTCATTGTGGCGGGTCTTTTGTTTTCTGTGTGTCTGTTCATTTTAGTTGTTTCCTGCGTGGTTTTGTTTTTGTTCTTTTTTTATCTCTTTTGTCCTGTCTTTCCCGGATAGTGTATTTTCTCTATCTTTGTGGAGTACCAAGATTGAACCAGAGGATGAACTACAATATCTGGCCTGTGATTATACCTTTTTTTAGGCAGCGTAGCCTGTGACCACGGGAATCGCTCGGTCATGTGTTTGATGACACCNGTCAAGTGTTTGATGACACAAGAAATAAGCGGTCTACGTTCGCGCACTTCCAGTTGAACGAACTAGGACCCTTTCTCGAAAGTGATTCACACACCCGCACCCGCAACGGCAGCTTCGAGGTCGTGGTTACATGCGGTGCTTCGACCACAATACGTGAAAGCCAAAGTCTAACCGATGCCAATATGTCTAATGTATTCCTTCTGATGCTCCATGATTGGACAACAGGTGGCACGATACTTTGCTTTCGGTCAGTCCGCCGTCGCGCATCAGTATCCCTTTCGGCCGCGGTCGGCAGAAGCTAACCACGCTTCATCACTGCTGTCATTTCCCTCTTCTGTCGTTGTCCATGTTTCTCCATCCTTCAATGCACGCAGAGGAGGACAAGATGGACGCTGTCATGACCCTCATGAACCCGGCCTATCGCCTCAAATACCACCGCCAGACCTACGGCGACGACGCGTACCAGGTCATGATGCCTGTGGCGTCCACGCTGGAGGAAGATGACACCCTGCTACCTCCTCTCCCCGTGGATGGTCAGGCCGGCGCTCCCAAGAAACTCGGGCCGAAAAAGTTCAGGGGGATCGCGGGGCGCGGGGACAAGTACGCTTCGTCGTCGTTCATCACGCGAGTTTCTGAACTCGGCCCGGCTGCATCCGGAACTACGGCGGCTCCCTCTCTGTCGCAGGGGGGTGCCACAGCGACTCCCTCTTCGTCACAGAGGGGGCGTGCGGGCGGATCGGTCACGGTCGGGGGTATGGTGATCAGTTTGACACGCCGAATGCCGCCCGCCGAATGACGACGTGTGTTGCCGTTTTTTACGTACCATGTACTACGCATTTTATGTTCGTGCCGTGCACTCCCCGGTGGAGAATCGGGGATCGCGGGCCTTGACATTCATCTAGCCGACGACCAATGGGTGATGACGATGGTGAATGGTGGTGGGCAGGGAGGTTTTTAGGATCTTTGATACTTTCGTCTTTGTTTGACTTTCGTGTTCAATGCGGTACGTTGGTTAAGTGCAATGCAAGGCGCAAGCGAGTGTGCTTACCCTTTCGCTTTGCATCGTTGATTTGTAGCACACACCCTCTGCTGACTATGAACTTCCGGGGTACACGTTGTTGCTACACAGGGGAAGTAAACGAGCGTGTCGTGTTCAGATGTCGAGGTCGGAACCCGTATTCTGGTGTGGCATTCGAGTCCTTGCGAGGGAGGGGGGGAGGGGGGCGGGGCCACCACTTTCCTTGAAGAGATGAGAGTGTTCCCAAGGTTATGTTTGGTTTATCCCGACTTTATTCCTCTCATAATGTAGCTAGCTGTCGATTCGCATTTTTCTGCGGAAACCGACGCGGAATTGTTGAATCAAGACGAAGTAACTGCTATGTTGCCACATCGCCAAATTCACACGATGTACGATCGAATACCTAATGTGCTCAAGAGGTCATTCATGCATGATCGATACTTTTCTGAGGATTCCTGAGACAGACCTACGCAACATGCGGCCCCTTCACTCCCGCATAAAACACCTGTATGACTCTTATCTGTAATGTTAATTGAGCTACACCACAATTCTTTCGTAAAGATAACATCTACCTCTACTCTACAGTGTTGGTGACGACGCGAGGCATTGAGCCTGGGACCGAGTCGACCGAATTAACGTTGACGGTTGTTGGTGCACACCACCGCCGTGCGGTCGATTAACACCCAAACATGAACGCATGGAAGGAAGACGGAAATACACAGCGCCTGGTACAGCCAAAGAGGTATACATAATGGCCGTAGCTCCGTGCTCCTAGCTCCCTGGTAAAATCCCTTGCGGACCAGCGCGTCCGCGGCACAGCGCAGAGGGTGTGTGTTTGTGTGTATTTTATTATTAGCATCGACCGCGCTAACCGGCTGACCAATGAAAAGACGTCAGTCTTAGTGCGGTTGAAAACACAAAACACTACTTTCTACNGTCTCAGTGCGGTTGAAAACACAAAACACTTCTATCTACCATGAACTGGGACCCCGTGAGGGGGCAGCATGGGGGAGGCTAAACTATCCTTCGGATCAGAAACAGAAACAGCAGCAACAGAAGAAAACTGCACCCGTCTACCGAGGCTATTACCTAGTACTCGAGTTCGTTTAGGAGTTTGTGTGTGTGGTTGGGGAAGAGAGACAATACTGAATGGGTCGGCAAAATGTGTGTATAATTTCTGTAGCTACCAACAGCGAGCTGCTATCATGTCGCACCTTGGAGACACACTCTGCTATATCTTGCGAGGGTTACGTCCACACCACCAGCATTCCCATGAGGAAGGAGGATCCGATCGCCATTAGATCGCCATTTGCGGGTGTTGCGCCTCCTGTGTGCCCGTTGGCAATTTCACCAGTCAGTCTAATTTGACGTATTAATCGACTCGCGGGCCCGCGCCCCTCTCCTAGATAGAGGGGGTCGAACTCGCTCTATCCGCGAGTTAGCTCGCTGTGGTGCTCGTACATTATTTGGTTAGGACAGAGAGACAAAACGGGCACGACCTGCTTCATGCTTCCGAGGCACAGCAGCACAGCAGCAGCAGCAGCAGCAGCAGCAAAACACGGCGGTTGGTTTCGCCACGATCTACGGAGGAGGCTGTCGGAGATCGGTATACTTGGAGACAATGTGCCCGTCAACAAGCGTTGGTGGTTTGTGTGGCTACTATGGGGTATGTGCGGTATTATACGGTGTGTCATGCGGGTATGCGCGGTATACGTTTTTTTTTGCGGGTTTAAGAGTCGTCGGACGCCGGGATTCTATGACCATATCTGGGACAAAATCGACCCTTCACGGGTACGCCAGTAACCAATATCGGTTACACCAGCGGGTGCTATCTCCAGCGGAAGTTGTACCCGATGGGGATTTATCCAAAAAAAATGGGTACAATGGTTTTTGCCCAATCAGCTGACAGCCTGGGGGTGCAACCGTCTTGATTTCTGAGTGTACCCGAAAGTGGTGATGAAGTACCCGGGTATACCCGTTTCTGGTTATTGGTCTTTGTGTTTTGTTTCCCCGCGGCGTCGTATGTGCCGGGTTTTGATACCACGGGCTCCCCATTTTTTGTGGACGGTAGAGCTAATTTAGACATCTTTCAAACTCAATTCCCGTCTCCCGCATCCGGTTTTGGCGAAATTTTGGCGGTTTACTTTCCCGTTCCGGTTGGGTAAATATATGCGGGAAAT